GGGAGAGCAAAGGTAGGCACAGCAGGTGGCCTCAGCGTCACTGGGTCCCCAGTGAATGGAAGAAAGGTGCACCCGCTTGCTTGGGGCAGGGGGGTCCTGCTGACCACCGGGTGGGGCCCATCCCACTCACTCAGATACAACCTGGCCCCAACACCCGAGGGGCACCAGCATCACATCTCCAGGACTGAGTGTGGGCAAGTTCTGGACAGGACCACATCAACTCCCACACTGACATGGCATGAGTTCCTCTCACTGGCCATTAGGTCCCCCACCCAAGAGGACCCCAAGGGCTCTGTCCTTCAGGCTGGGCCTGACCACTCAGAGGCAGGCAGGGTGTGACACAGAGGGTTTATTCGGAACCCCCCCACCCATGGTCCCGTACTCGGGCTTGGTGGGCCTGTCTGTGAGCTCCCCGTCTGTGTCCTCACTCGGCACTCAGGAAGACCCTCTTGCGCGCGGTGTTGGTGTAGGGGTGCCAGCGCCACTCCACGTCCGCCGTGGCCTCCTGCTCCAGTGTGCCCAGCCGGATCATGTACACTGGGGGCGGGATTGGCCATCAGCCCCTGCACAGCCCCCTGCCTCCCCTCCCGGGACAAGGGACAAAGCCTCAAACTTACGCTTCAGCTCAAAGCGAGGCCCGACCTCGGTCAGCTCCACGTTGTGGTGGTCCATCTTCTTGTAGACATGGTGCCTGGTGGGTGGGTGGGGGCGACCGTGGGTCAACAGTACACAGCAAGGGGCATGAGGACAGGACAACACCCTGGGGTGGGGCCCACAGACCCACCGGAATGAAATGTAGTCATCCTGGTTTGCAAAGGTGATGACACGGCGGCTGTCATCTTTGGGCACGGGGAACAGGTAACGGAGGATGTCAGAAACCTGGGGCACAAGGGAGGGAGTGGCAATGCCTGGCCTGGTCCCTCGTCCCCAGCCCTGGCCCCAGGACCCCAAACTCACCCGCTTGCCCAGGCGGGAGGAGAAGCCATGCGTGATGAGGTGTGGCTTGGCCTCTGATACGGTGCCCAGGTCTGGGATGTCGTGTCTCATGACCACGTTGCACAGTGTGAAGTAGGCGGTAGGGCCAAAGGGCAAGTGGCTGACAATGAGCCCCACTAGCAGGGCCAAGCAGGCTGTCAGAGGCTCTACCTGCCCCCAGACTGCCCGAGTTGGCCCCTCTCCTCCCCTCCTCTCTCTCCAGCTTTACCAGGTGTGCCTCGATGTTCGTGGATGACCAGCAGGTCGGTGACCCCGTTGGCTTTGCAGGCTCGAACCAGCGCCCCCACCTCGTGTCGGCCTCGGTTCATGCGCTGGGCGCCTGGGAAGACCAGCTTCAGCTCCTATGTGCAGACCACAGTGGCTGGTCAGGACTAGGCCACTTGTGCTGGGCCTCCTGCACTCGCTCCCCATCCCACCAGTACCTTTGCAAACATCTTGAGGCGGGAACTGGGGTCTCGGGACGTAGTGATCATGACTTTGGGATCTTCGACCCCTGCCCATCGATACTCGTCATCCACATGGCAGGTCACACCTGGGAGAGCATGAGGAGCAAGAATGCAACAGTGTCTTGGGAGTGAGATGCTAACTTGGGGGGCGGCCAGGCTGTCTAGATGATGCTGTCCGACAAAGCCTTTGATGATGGGAACACTCTACACCCATACTGGGTAAGGGGATGGCCACCAGCCATGCTGGCTACCAAGCACAAATGTGACTGAGAAACAGAGTCTTTCATTTTATTTCACTTTAGATAACTTAAGCTGCATTAGTCACAAGGGGCTAGCGGCTAATGTGTTAAGATAGCACAAGCCCAGATTCTGCTAAGGCCCAAGGTGACAGACCCACTTTACTCTCAACAAATATTTATACTGTTTGGGATTCCTTTCCTATTGTTGAATAATAAAGGAATCAAACATGGGTGCCAACGTGCTGGGTGCTGGGGACACCTGCCCTGGCAGACATTCCAGTGGGGGGGACAACTGACAACAAAAGGAAAGAGTAAGTGGGTGCTGTCTAAATGAGGCAATGTGCACTCAAGGAGAGCCCCTGTGATGCTGTCTGTGCCGACACAAGGGTACCTGCGGACAGTTCCAGAAGCAGTTGCTGTGGACTCTTTCCTAAGGTTGGAAAGTACCTAGCTACCTGAGAAAGGACACATAGCCAGTGGGCTCAATGTCAGGAGGGCTGCACCATACAGTTACCTTCGCCACCAATGTCGTCGAACTCCAGGGACCCTTGTAAAGCCAGAGCCTCCCGGCGTAATTCAGTGGGAATCAGGCGGTTTTCTGCAGGGGAAGACAGAAGGGCTGAGTGAGACACAAACATGGAGCCCTCAACTTATACAATATGCTGTGCCTCACAAGCCTATACGCACTTGATGGAAAAATACCTCACTCTTTTCTGAGCAGGTGATACAGGATTACCTAGGGGGAAAGAGGGGACAAAACAACTTCTTTTTGTCTACACACCAACCTATAAAGAGGCTGAGGACTTCATTTTCTATGGTTCTTGAGTCTCATGATGTGAGGGCTTTCTAAAATATTTTATCACTAATGTGCATTGCTTTTATGGTCGGGTCAGGCAAAAATTTAAAAATTAATTTTTAATTAGCTGGGCATGGTGGCACACAACCTGGTGTCCCAGCTCCTAGGGAGGCTGAGGCAAGAGAATCACTTGAGCCCAGGAATTTGAAGTTGCAGTGAGGCTATGACGATGCATTTGCACTCTAGCCAGGGCAACAGAGCAAGACCTTGTCTCAAAAAAAAATTAATTTTTAAAAGAAATACAGACTGCTCTTTATGTATGAAGGTGGATTGGAGACACTGAGACCCTCAGACAACAGAGCTGCTCATCATGATGCGCAGAGCGCTTTGAGGTGCATGGCCTGAGGGCGCGCCTGCTTTGGAGCGCAGAACTCACAATGAGCACACCCTTGGACCCATTCATCATTGAGAGCAGCAGCACGGTTCCTGACCACCTCAAACTGAAAACAAGCTCATCGCCACCCACAGGAATACGGATGAAGACCCTGCAGAACATGCACCTGAAGGGGCTTCCCGTCACACCCACTGGTCTTAGAAACAATTCCGAGTGAAAAAGTAAAGCTGCAGAAGAATGCACACAACCTAATACTACTTTTAAAACTGAAACTTGACCAATAAAATTTAGGGATACAAACAGCTATGTTATTATAAGCACAAAGAACAGCAAAGAAACATTTATTTTTAAACAACATTCAATAAAGTAGTTATCTATGTTGGGGAATATATTCCTGAATTTCAATTTATCTATCATTTTACCTGGATGGGTCACAGGTGTTTAACACTACGCTTCTTGCCTTAAACATACATACACATAGCGCACACACTTCACAGGCCTAAAACCTAGGAACATCCAAGGGAATTTAAATTAACCAGAGGTACTGTGGGTGATGCACCATGAGAATGGAAACATAAAGCTCCAGCAACACAACAACCGACAACATGGGGATAATAAACATGGCACTTCCAACCAGGCATGTGAGACACAGACTTCATTAATCTGGCAAATGGAAATGTGGGAAAAGAATTACAAAATTTGATTCCTAACTCATAACGCAAATAAAATTAAGTTTGACAATAGTTCGACAATAGGAACAACGGCTTAAAAATTCAAGGGAATCATAATAGTGCTAAAAGACAAAAAGACATTCTTGGGTGATCCTGGACTGAAGAAGGTAGCGCCTTCTACATATCTGTAACAGATAATATCTATAGGACCATGTACAATTCGGGAAGAACTAGACACACTGTGAGCAGCCGGCAAGCTGTAGTGTAAATGACAACTGGTACCATCACACGGAAGGAACACTTTTAACGCCAACGAGAGAACGCGACAGGTAAGGAAACGGCCAGTAAATACTCGAAAAGACGCCCAGCTACACCGACACTCCTGCCGAGGAAACGCGTTTTCCACACCGCCGGCTCACCTTCGAGCGCGCGCCGGACCTTCTCCTTCCTCTCCTGGGCGGACCGCTGCGCCTCCTCGCGGGCCTTGCGGTACAGGTACTCGCGGCGCAGGCGGGCCTCGCGGCGCAGCTGCGGAGACAGCGGGCCCGGTCACCACGCGCCCCCGACCCCAGGGCCGCATCCCCAACACTCCGCGAGCCCCCAACCCCCGAGACTGGAGCTCGAACGCCCCTCCTACCATCCTGGAAGCCGCTTCCACGTGTGTCTGGCAGAATCTGCTGGCGCCGCCGACGCTACACAGTCTTCGCTTCCGCCCTCAACCAAGAAGGTCGCTAAAAACTTCACTAGAGCCTGCCGCCGTCGAGAATGCCCGATGTTAAGATGGCGAAGGGAGTCGCAAGACGATTGGCCAGTCCGGCAGCGCGTGCTCATCGGGGGAACCAACAGACTGGAGACAGGTCGCTGTCACGTGGCTTGTGACGACCGTCAATAAAGATGTCCGCTCCGGGCTTCACCACCGTCCATCCCTACGCGGATACCCAATTTTTATATGATGAACCTCTAAAATAATCGTATTGGGCGAGTCCAAACAGTCCATCAACCGTAAAAACGGCACAGCGACTGATCTGGAGGTTTCCTGCCGGCGCCTTCCGGAATTAAATTTAAAGTCTCTCCACCCTTAATCAAAATGGTTGCCATATTGCTTCGCCTTCTTCCGTCGCCACATTGGTAGCCCGACTTCTAGAATTCGGTCGCTTCCGGAAGCGACTCGGAACACCTGTAGACCCAGCCGACAGTCCCTCTGGCCGATCCACTTGGGGCGCTAATCGGAGAAACCCGCTAATAGATACGTGGGTGCTGCTTCCCTGAGGGCCCTTGCCGTAAAGGGGGTGACCCAAAGGCCCTGATGGCATTGGCGCTGGAGTCCACGGCTGGGAACGCCCCCTTAGGGGCGGGTCTCATGCGCCGATTGGCTGTCATGCCGGAGCAGCGGGCGATGATTGGGCAACCTGGACGGACGTGGCTCCAGACCGGTCAGCTCACCGGAGACTCAAACGTATGCCCATGGCGGCACCGGACTTGCAAGCGCAGCTGGACTCCCTGCTCCTGCAGCTGTTCCGGGACCTAGAAGAGCTGGAGGCGAAGCGGGCGGTGTTGAACGCCCAGGTGGAGGAGGTAGGCGCTCGGGGTGGGCGGAAGGGCACACGGACGTAAAGTGTGTCTCACCGTTTTCCGCTTTCTCCCCAGGGGTGGCTCTCGCTCGCCAAGGCTCGCTATGCCATGGGCGCCAAGTCGGTAGGGCCCCTGCAGTACGCCTCTCGCATGGAGCCCCATGTTTGTGTCCACGTCAGGTGAGGCACCTTGGAAGCTGGAGTAGGTGGGCGGGGTCCGGGCCCAGGCCGCCAGAGGTCCATGCTCCCTTCTCGTCCTTTAGTGAGGCCCAGGATGGACTCCAGAAATTCAGGGTGGTGAGAGCTGGCGTCCAGACCCCAGAGGAGGTGGGGCCCCGCGAGACAGGTGAGCCCCCCTTCTCCTGTCAGGGCCCCTTCCCAATGTCAAATACAAAATGCACAGAACTTTTGAGGAGATGGTTTTATTTAGGCTTTTGCGATAGAGAGAGCACCCCAGAGCTGAAGAACAGAACAGAACAGAATAGGATGGTTTTGCCTTAGACTTTTATAGGGAGGATTAGAGAAGTTAGAGGCGGGTTGCTTGACAGTTGGGATAGTTGTGCAATCACGGAAGTCTCAGCTGAACAAAAAATAAAATGTTCATATTTGCGTCTAGCTAGTTTTATAGGGACAAATTTCTAATCCCAGTTAATTATTCTTGAGACAACAGGGAGTTGGAGAGTCTGTGCCTGGCCTTTCAGCACGTTGAGGCAAAATGGTTAAGGTCAGTGTGTGGCCTTGTCACAAGCAAACACGGTCATCTTTGGGTTTTATAGCAGTCATGAGCAAGAGTAGACAGAGAGTCTCATCTGAATCACAAGGGGAATGGTGGTGCTTTGTGGCAAACTGCTTCCCAGGATACAAAAGTCCAGGGCATTTTCCAACCATCAGTGTTTTCCAGACTCACGAGCTCAGATCAGGCTCCACATTGTTGCCAAGACCATAAAGATCAGGTAGTAGGATCCCAGCCTCCTTCAGCCTTTCCCCCACCCCCCAGGTTTGCGCAGGCGCAAGGGTGCCACTAGACCGCCAGAGCCCCCGGAGGCCCCCCAGGACCCTTTGAACTGGTTCGGAATCCTGGTTCCTCACAGTCTACGGCAAGCCCAAGCCAGCTTCTGGGATGGTGAGTGGACCCTACCACTTGGCCATGTGACCCTGGGCTAAATTCAGACCCTCAATCAACAAGGGAGCATTTGAACACTAATGCCATGGCTGGGGTTAGTCTGCAAAGGGATTTGCAAGTTTTCTCCGTTGCATACTTTTGTTGCACACCTGCTGTTTTTTCCAAAGTATTTGCTGGCTGTTGGCAGCCTTCCAGGCTCATGCTAGCTGCTGGGGATACAACAGGGAACAAAAGGGACAAACACTGTTCATGGAATGCTTATTTTGTGGAGGGGAGAAAGGCAACGTGCAAATAAATAAGTAGGCCCTTAATCTAATATCAGGGTGTGAAAATTGTTATGAAGCAATAACAGGATGGAGTGGGACAGGAGTGGGCTGAGGGAGCTATTTTATGGAGGGTGGCCAGGGAAGGTCTCTCTGAGGAGATGAAGGAAAAGCCTTGTGGTTGACCTGGGGTAACAGTGTTCTGGCAGAGGGACTAGCCAGGGCAAAAGCCCTGAAGTGAGATCTGTCTGGTGTGTTGGAGGAAGAAGGCCAGTGGGCTGGAGTGGAGTCAGTGCAGTGGCAGTGCTGGGAGCTGAGGACAGAGGGGCCAGGCCCAGGTGATATGGAACCTGAGGAAGACTTTGGGAGTCACTGGGAGGCGCTGAGCAGAGGAGGGTGCAATTGTATGCAGAAGGTCACAAGAGTCCTTTGAGTGCTGAGCGGGGACAGACTGGAGAGGAGAGGAAGGAAGCAGGTGCGAGGGAGCAGCCAGGCATGAGCTGTAGGCGGAGGCAGTGGAGGTGAGAGTAAACAGTGGGAACCTGTGCATATTTTGAGGTAGAAGCCCCAGACTTTGCTGACAGATTGGATGTGGGAATAGGGAAGGAGAAGAAACAAGGAGAGCCTACGTCTCCACCCAGAACCCCTGGGAGGATGGAGCTGCTCTCACCTGCTCTGAGGGGAAATCTGTGCTGTGTGGTGTCCACTAACACCCAGCTGGAGAGTCCAGCTGGGCGGTTGGGCATGTACATCTGCAGTTTGAGAGAAGACTGGGCTGGAGAGAGATTTGTGAGTCCACTGCATAGCACTGGTGTTTAAATTCCCAGGTTGTTGACAGGGTCAAAGCTAAGATGGGATGAGGTCAGCAGAGGGCCCAGAAGTGTGGACGGGAGGTGACGGAGAGGAGAAACTAGTCAAAGAGATTGAGGAGCAGCACCCAGAGGGCAGGGTGTCCTGGAAGCCAAGAAGAGAGAGTGTTTCCTGGAGGGAACGATCATTCGTGTGGTCAGCCCAGCTGGCAGACAGGAGGCTGACAACTGAGGACTGCCAGGCGACGTGGAGGGCCCTGAGGACTGGACAGCAGCTGTTCCAGCAAAGGCGTCAGGTGAAAGCCACCCACAGGTAGATCCAGAGTGTGTACCACTCTCAGGCTGAGAACAAAGGTGGAGGGAGAGTGGCTGAGAGCAGTGAGGAACTGTGACAATGGAGGGAGGAAGGAAGTGAGTGCTTGAGACAATGTCAGGATCTTTGAATTTTTAGTTCCTGGTGGGTGATGTAAGGGAGTCAAGGAAGTCTTCTGAGGAGGTGATATTTTAGAAAAGACCTGAGGGAGGTGTAAGGGTGTGGGTCCAGTAAGGTTCTGGAACAGTGAGTGCAGGGCCATACCTGGAATGTTTTACTTAGGAATAATGTAGGAATGTAGGAATAATGTAGAGGCCAGAGAGGCCTGGAGCCTTTCCAATACTTGGGGGTGTCCAGAGCCTTCTGGGTTGTGTGTCACACCGTGAATAACGTGGTAACATTCTCTCCTTTCCTCCAGGTGTGCAGCTGGCTGCAGACGTAGCCAGCCTTCAGAACCGCATCGACTGGGGTCGAAGCCAGCTCCGGGGGCTCCAGGAGAAACTCAAGTTGGAGCCCGGGGCTGCCTGACCTGCATCCACAGAGGCAGGGCAGTGAGCACAGCTGTCCTTGGATGTGGCTGCCTTATCACAGGCCTTCACAAGTACTTACCACAGCTACCCCTGCCCCTACCCCACCTCAGCTAAAGCACCCCCATGTCCCTGGTCTGCATGTTTCCAGCTTCGTTAGGTGTGAAGTTTGAAAAGGTGAACTGAGCAATGTGAAAAGTCACTACTTTGAAACCATCCCTAGGTCTGTGTTCTTATAGGACACACTCCCATGGGGCAGGTGCGTATAGATCAGCCAGCTGTGGTTTCATTACAGGGTGATGAAACACTGGACAAACAGTGGTGGGAAGGACAGGCAGTAGTGCTACAGGTTCACTAGATCCTCAAAACCGAACTTGCTGGAGGAGAAAACCATTCATGGCTGACAGCCCAGGAAAATATGATTTGACTCAATAAAAATACAAACACCTGAGTGGATGGGCAGCCCTTGGCAGGGTCTGAGCCAGGCAATAAAAATGATTTGACTTAGATTTTTAAGGGAACTCTTGGAAGAGACCTTCCAGGTTTTAAAAATCCTGACTTTTACTAGGAGTGAGGCCAAGCCTCTCTTCATTTGTTGAAGGGCCAGTTGTTTCCTGTTATAAGAATTTCCTTCATTTTTTCTACTGGGTTGTTGATCTTTTTAGCAATTTCTAGGAGCTCTTTATGTTTGGGGGAATTAGTCCTTTGTATATACTATGAGATGTAAATATTTGTTCCTAGGTTGTTTTTTAACTTTGCTTATGGTTTTCTTTTTATTTTTTATTGCAAAATAAAACGTTACATCAAACTGCACAGAACAATTGAATACCTTAATGAATAACTAAGGTGAAACTGTAGTAACCGTCACCCAGCAGCTCTTGTGTTTCTTAATTTTTAAAGTAGAGTTGAATTTATCCATCAGCTGTTATGATTTCTGGATTTGGGGTGGTCATTGGTGAGGGGATAAGGTGATTCTCTAGCATTTTCCTCGACCTACGTGGTTTCAGCTGGGATATTGAGTGAGTCCTGCATCCACTTTTTCTACTTTCCCGCCAAACGCTGTCGATTACTCCCCCTACTATGGGTTTCAGATGCCACCTTTTTTTGTTTGAGACAAAGTCTCGCTAGAATGCCATGGTGTCATCATAGCTCACTGGAACCTCCAACTCCAGAGCTCCAGCGATCCTCCCGCCTCAGCCTCCCCAATGAGTTCCACGATTACAGGCCAGAGCACCGCGCAGTGCCACCCACAGTGCAAACCCGCTCTAAGGCGGGGACTTCCATTCTGATGCGTTGGCCTTGCTGTCAGTTAGTACACCGGTAACACGCTGTGTTAACACACGCTTTAATCCCCTAGGGCAGATAACACCGTTGTGTTGCGGGGGAATCGTTTTATTTGGCCACGTTGAGCTTGAGTTGCTAATGAAAAGCCTAATGGGAGAACTCAAATGGAACCCCCCAAACCCGTGACTGAAGGAAAAAAGGGTACCCCTACCCCGTACACAAAAGAACAGAGGTTGAGTTTCACAATAAAATCCTGCTATTGACAAAGTGCCAATTAGTCAAATTTTGAAGCTAAAGTAAGGAAAAAATAACATTCAAGTTCTGCTTTGACCCTAAATTCTTCCTGGAGGAAGGAAGTCACGTGGCGCGCCGGGCGCAGCTGTGTCCCTTACGTTGACCCGGGCGGCGGCTGATATCCAAGGTCAGGCCCGCAAAGCCTGCCTCCCTTCGCTGCGCCCAGTGAGTTTCGGGGTGGCGGGCTCCGGGCGGGGCGAGGCCGCGCCCCTCGGTGAAGGCGGGTTCAGGCTGCACAACTGTTCCGCCGCTCGGGCTCTACGGGTACCCGGGGCTTGCGCAGCCTCAGGCGGAGCTTTTCCCTGGGGACTGGAGTGAACTTTTCAGGGCAGTGGTTTGAACTGTTACCTCAGAGTAACTGTTACCTCCCAGAGTGCTGGCAGGGAGGGGCGGGTCAGGAGACGTAAGTCACATATATGGGTATGAGGAAGGTCCTTTGACGTTTCCCATATGGTCTAGCGGTAAGGATTCCTGGTTTTCACCCAGGCGGCCCGGGTTCGACTCCCGGTATGGGAACAACAAAATAATCTTTGTTTTCTTTCAGCTGGGAAATTACCACTATTTTGGCTTCTGGTCACCAGAACGCTTAAGTATTTTCTCTCCGTTTAAACTAGGAGAGACAGAGGCCCTGGGAGCTCTGGCTTCCATCGTTCCGTATTTTGAGCAAAGTGACAACTCTCATCCCAGCGTCAGCTAGTTGTTTTGTCTACGAACAATTTACTAATTATATTAGATACCATATACGTTATAGATGTGAATATTATAAATCTTGAAATGTTAAGTAATACTTAAAATGTTCAAAATTTCTTGTCAGACTACGCTGTGGGGGGCGGGGCCCCTGCTGGGCCTTCCCCCACACAGCGGCCCCGCCCCTGCCCCGCCCGC